ATTAAAGGATCCCGCTTTTTCCATTTTGATTTATTGGCGATTTTGTTAGTTGAAGGACCACGCTTTTTCCATTTCTTTTCAATATTTTTCCTACATATAAGGCGTTAAGTCTCTTTTCATTAATAACATCTTCCTACTTTTATATTTTTTTGCATTTAATCAGACATTTTTGGTAGATTTAACAGCGTTTTTTTATTTCAATTTCCACAAACAGAATTATAAGTTCGTCATAGACTGCAGTTCTTAGAATATTTTTAATTCATCTTGAGAGTAGTTTTTGATAAAATTCTTGTTTTGATTGCATTAATAGTTCCATTTAGGATTTTTCTGTTCAATGTCCAAATGCCTTCCTTTTCTTTCTCTCTTATTATTATTATTCTCTCTTATTCTTTTAGTTCTCATTTTTTTCTTATCTTTTTCAGATACGCGAATTTTATTATTATCATTATAATTACTGTTATTATTATTATTAATGATATTGTAGTGATTATTATTATTATTATTATTATTATCATTATAGTTATTATTATTATTATTATTATTATTATATTATTTATTATTATTAATTATATTATATTATTATTATTGTATTATTATTATTGATTATTATTATTAGAGAGAGAGAGAAGAGAGAGAGAGAGAGAGAGAGAGAGAGAGAGAGAGAGAGAGAGAGAGAGAGAGAGAGAGAGATATACATGTATTTGGGCTGGTTGAGTGTATGTATATTGCAAGCTTTCATACACAGTTTGTGTCTATGTCCCTCGAGTCCTTGTGCCCGCCTGTATTCACCATATGACAGTACAAAAACGGATTTTCATGACATGACGAAGACGTGACAGGTCGTCGCATATCCAGTGAGATGAAGCTGAGCAACACAAGTGAAAGTGTTGGGTTTTGCACTGTGTTGTTGCAAATTCATGTTATTTAGTCGTGGTGAGTAGCCTTTTCTTGCACTAAGATATACATAAGCCATCTTTTGTCACTGAGATGAGGCAGGTGGAGGAAGGACTTTGTGAAAGGATGTCTTTGTGCAACGGACTCGCATTTGTAATCTTAATATGTGTGTGTGTGTGATGTGTGTGGTGTGTATGTATGGATATTCTATGTATGTATTCATGTATCTGTGTGTATGTGTACCAATCCATATTTCTATATATTTTTCTGCCTATGTATGTGTAAATGTAAATAGACCATATGTATATGTATATATACACTAACACACACACATACTTATTATATATATAATTATAATATATATATATATATATATATATATAGTATATATAATAATATATATGGTATATATTATAGTTATATATATATATATATATATATATATATATATATATATTAGATACATGTACAATGTAATGTATATTATTTATTTATCACACACACACACACACGCAATATGGCACCATTTATTTATCTATTAATTGATTTATTTATATAAATACCTATACATCATACACGTGCGTGTCTATGACGAACATCTTTATACGAATGCCCCGGGTATACATGTGCGTGGAGAGCGTGTGCGTGCCTGACCCATGTAAGTGCATCTTCATAGCACCTTCTTGCCCCAGACACGGTCGACTGCGGGAGTTACGAGCTACATCCGGGACACATCCTCAACATCAAGGGGTCATCTAAGCCCTGTGCTTGGACCTTCACGGTAAGGTGGCGCTGGGTTGGTTTTGGGGGTTGGGTCGTGCTTGTGTTGTTGGTGGTGGTGTTTTTTTTTGAGGATTTTGGTTTGTTTGTTTATGTTTTGTTTCATTAATGTTGTTTTTTATTGTTGTTGTTTTTTTATTTTTGTGCTTTTATTTATGTATTTTAATGTTGTTTTTTATTTTTTATGTTGTTTTTATTTATGTTGTTTTTTATTCGTGTTGTTTTTATTGTTTTTTTTATTTATGTTGTTTTTTCATGTTGTTTTTATTCATGTTGTTTTTATTTATGTTGTTTTTTTTATTCATGTTTTTTTATTGATGTTTTTTTATTTATGTTGTTTTTTATTAATGCTGTTTTTATTCATGTTTTTTTTCCTTATGTTGTTTTTATTTATGTTGTTTTTTATTTATGTTATTTTTATTCATGTTTTTTATTCATGTTTTTTATTCATGTTTTTTGTTCATGTTTTTTATTCATGTTGTTTTTTATTCATGTTGTTTTTGTATCAATGTTTTTTTTTTGGTGTTTTTTATTAGTTGTTTTTATTAATATTGTTCCTTTTATTGATGCTTTATTGATGTTTTTTTATTAACGCTGTTTTATTTGGTGTTTTTCTTTTAATTGAACTATGCGTTTTTATGTGCATATCATGTTATTGGTATGTGTTTCCTGGGTGCTTTCTGTGACTATTTTTTTCCGAAAATCATCGCCTGATATTGTGAATACTTAAAATTTGAATAGAGTAATATTATCATAGTCTCTCCGTTGGTTTGTTTGTTTAAGCCTGCCTATCTTTATGTCTGTGTCTGCTTCTCTCTCTCTCTTCTCTCTCTCTCTCTTCTCTTCTCTTCTCTCTCTCTCTCTCTCTCTCTCTCTATCTATCTCTATCTTCTCTCTCTCTCTCCTCTTTCTCTCTCTCTCCTTCCCCTCCCTCTCTCCCCCCTCTACACCCCCTCCAACACCTTCCAAAAAAAAAAAAAAAAAAAAACACCCACGCATCCGAACACCTCAAACCGCATCCATTTCCCCCCCAGGGACCAGAAGGGAGCAAAGTCGAAGCCGCGTGTTCGGACGTGTCCATCCCGAAGACGCGGAGATGCAACACCGCAGCGCTCATGGTCTCCACGCGAGGTCGAACACGGCCAGGTGAGGGGGGGGGGGGCGAACGGTCTTAGAGGGGGGGTATGGAAGGGGAGGTGGGGGAGGGATGAGATGGGAATGGGAACTTGGGGGGGGGGGAGAAGAGAATGAGAGGGAGGGAGAGAGAGAGCAGGGATGGAGATGGGAATGGGAATAGGGGTGGGGGGGAGAGGGAGGGTAGGGGAGAGAAGGAGGGAGGGAGAGGGAGGGAGAGGAGGGAGGGAGAGAGGGAGGGAGGGAGGGGGAGAGGGAGAGGGAGGGAAGGGAGGGAGAGGGGAATATGGGTTCGAAAATGATCGGAAATGTAAATCACGGAGAGTAATTATAATGATGATGAGGATGACGATAATGAACATCACCGACAGTCAATCCTCCTCTCTCACCCTCACTCTTCCTCACTGCCCAATCCTCACTCAACCATCCTCCTCCCTCACCCAGGATGTGCGGTCGGAGTCCTTCCTGAAGATCAGAAGACAGCGCCAGCCCTCACCATCTCGAGCGCCCCGGAGGAGGAAGTCCAAGAAATGTCTTCTCCTGTGGACGTCTTCCTTAGAGTAAGTATGGGGGGGTGGGGGGGGGGAGCAAGGAGGGGGGAGGGATGGGTGAGGAAGGAGGAGGGAGGGGGAGGGGAGGGGAGAGGAGAGAGAGGGATGGAGGGGGTGGAAGGGAAGGGAGGGAGGGAAATTGGGTGGGAGGGAGAGGGGAGGGAGGGGAGGGAGGGTGGGGGAGGGGAAGGTGGGAGGAGGGAGGGAGGGGAAGGAGGGAGAGGGTGGATAGAGGGAGAAGAGGGAAGGAGGGAGAGGGAGGGAACGTGAGATTAGGGTGGACAGTGAGATTAGGGAGGAAGGGGGAGGTAGGGAGGAGGGAGAGGGTAGGATAGAGGGGGAGGAGAGGGGGTAGAAAGAGTAAGAGGGAAGGGAAGGAGGGAGAAGGAGGGGAGGAGGGAAGAGAAAGAAAAAGCAGATGATAGAGATAGACAGAGATGGGAGAGATAGATAAATAGATCAATAGAGAGAGAGATAGATAGAAAGAGAGAGAGAGAGAGAGAGAGAGAGACAGAGACAAACAGACAGTCAGACAAACAGAGAGAGAGAGAGAAAACAGATAAGATAGAGAGATAAACAATGGAGATAGACATATAGATCGAGATAGATAGATAGATAGATAGATAGAGATAGATAGATAGGAAGATAGAGAGATAGATAGATAGATAGATAGATAGAGAGAGAGAGAGAGAGAGAGAGAGAGAGAGAGAGAGAGAGAGAGAGAGAGAGAAGAGAGAGAGAGAGAGAGAGAGAGAGAGAGAGACAGACAGACAGACAGACAGACAGACAGACACAGACAGAGACAGAGACAGACAGACAGACAGACAGTCAGACAAACAGAGAGAGAAAGAAAACTCAGTTAATCATCTATTTATTCCCAACACCTCGATTCCTCCAACGACAGACAAACAAGAAAACGACAAAAATTCGAAAGTAAAGACAATATGCAACACAAAACCGAACTCGACGAAAATGTCAAAATTTACGAACGTTAAAGGGAGTGAAAGTGAGATAGAGAGAGGGATGATAAAGGAGAGAAACGTGAGGGAAAGAGAGAAAGGCCAACAATAAAAGTGAGAAAAGTTTAAAAAGTAAGTGATAGTACGATTATATATATATATTTTTTTTATTATTATTTAATTCTAGCTCAGGAATCGTCTCTTTTTTCAAAACTCAAATGAAAATAAGATTATCACAAACAAATAATGATAACAAAAGACATTAATTTGATACAAGCAGTTGTTATTGTTGTTATTATTGTAGCCTCAGTAGTGAATTTGATAATGATATTCAGAACAACAACAGTAATAATGATGATATTAAGAATAAAAGAGTAACACTAAACACACTAAACTAGACATGCAATCAAGTAAAGAAGCAAAAGAAAGAGAAAAGAAAAGAAAAGAAAAGAAAATGAAATGAAATGAAATGAAATAAAATGAAATAAAATAAAAGGAGAAAAAGAAAATAGAAAAAAGAAAGAAAGAAAGTAAAGATATATATAGACTACAAACAACAGAAACAATAATAGTATTAAGAGTAAAAACAATAATAACACTAAACACAGTGGTTAGACATATAATCAAATAATAATAAAAAAAGAGAAGAGGAGAAGAGAGAGAGAGAGAGAGAGAGAGAGAGAGAGAGAGAGAGAGAGAGAGAGAGAGAGAGAGAGAGAGAGAGAAGAAGAGGAAGAAATATATAGACTACAAACAACAGAAACAATAATAGTAAAAAAAAAAAAAAAAAAAAAAAAACAGTGTTAGACATATAATCAAATAATAAGAAAAAAAAGAAAAAATGAAAAAAAAAAAGATGCTACACTGCAAACAACAGCTACAATCATATCAAAATTCTACAATATCTGTTTCCCTTCCCTTCCAGTGCCAAAGAACGCGCGGTACGACTGCCGTGAGTAGAAACTTTCTTGTTGTTTTCCCTTCGTTGTAATTGCTCAGCGGTAACAGCTGTTGCTCCTTTCTGTTGGCTCGAGTGGGCGGGGTTGTCGACTTTCATTTTTGGGACTTTGGGGGTGGGGGGTGGGGGGTGGGGTAACATACACACACACATACACAGAGAGACAGACAGACATAGACACACGCATATACGCGCGCACACACGCACGGAGACACGCACAGAACACAGACACACGTACTAAACACGCATACGTACACACACAGACACAGACACGCATACACACACACGCATACGCACACAACAGACACAGATACGCATACACGCACACGCCATACGCACACAACAGACACACACAACACACACACCCCCACACACTCATACACACCCCACCCCCACCCCCTACACACACCCACACCCACACCCACTCCCACCCACACCCCCCCACACCCATTCAACCCCCCCTACCCCTCACAACACCACACCATCCACACCAACCCCCACACACCCACACCCACCTACACACCTACACATCCACCCATAAATCAACCTCTCCACGCCCCTTCTCCCCAGAATGTGGCATCGAGTACCCCGCCCGCATCATCGGAGGCGCCACATCGGCCGTGAACCAGTACCCTTGGATGGCCAATCTCCGGTACAGCAACATGAAGAAAGTAATATGCGGAGCGGTCGTTGTATCCGATACACACGTCCTTACAGCGGCACACTGTATGAGTGGGTAGGTGCTGTGTCTTGGGGGGGGGGGAGGTCTGGGGTGGGGTGTGGTGAGTGGGGTCTGGATGGGGTGTGGTGGAGGGGGTCTTAGGGGTGGGTGGGGCACTGTATGAGTGGGTAGGGTGCTGTGGTGGGGGGGGGGGGGGGTGGGGGTCTGGGATGGGGTGGTGGAGGGTCTGGGGGTGGGTGGTGGAGGGGTCTGGGGGTGGGTGGGCACTGTATGATGGGTAGGTGCTGTGGTGGAGGTGGGGGGGTCTGGGGGAGGTGGTGGAGGGGGTCTGGGGGGGGGGTGGGGGTCTGGGATGGGTGTGTGGAGGGGGTCTGGGGGTGGGTGGGCACTGTATGAGTGGGTAGGTGCTGTGGTGGAGGGGGGGGGGGCAGGGGTCTGGGATGGGGGTGGGGTCTGGGATGGGGTGGGGGTCTGGGAGGGTGGAGGGGTCTAGGGGGTGGGTGGGGCACTGTATGAGTGGGTAGGTGCTGGGATGGGTGTGGTGGAGGGGTATTGGGGGTGGGTGGGGCACTGTATGAGTGGGTAGGTGCTGTGGTGGAGGTGGGGGGGGTCTGGGATGGGTGTGGTGGAGGGGGTCTTGTGGGTGGGTGGTGGTGGGTCTGGGGTGGAAGCGGTGGTGGATGGTGGTGATGATGGTGATGATAATGATGAAAAATGATAATACAAATTAATGATAATAATAGTAATAATGATGTTAATAATGGTAATGGTGTTAATGATGATGATAATAATGATATTATTGTCATTATCCTTATCACTATTATCATTATTATTGTTATTATCATTATTATCATTATTATTGTTAATATCATTATTATCATTATTGTCTCTACTACCATTGTCATTATCATTATATTATTATTATCGTTATTGTTAATATTATTATCATATTTATCATTATCACTACCATTTTCATCATTTTTATCATTATCACTATTATTATCATCATTTTTATCATTATCACTATTATTATCATCATTTTTATCATTATCACTATTATTATCATCATTTTTATCATTATCACTATTATTAGTAATATTATCAATCATCATCGTTATTATCATAACCATTATCATCATCTTAATCATTACAACCATTATCCTTATCATCATCTTAATCATTACAACCATGATCATTATCATCACCTTAATCATTATAACCATTATCATTATCTTAATCATTACAACCATTATCTTCATCTTAATCATCATAACCATTATCATTATCATCATCTTAATCATCATCATCATCATCATCATAACCATAACCATAACCATCATCATCATCATCATAACCATAACCATAACCATTATCATCATCATCATCATAACCCTCTTTATCTATATCCTCATCAACTTTATTATCAATATTATTTTTTAAACTATGATCCGCCAGCCTTTTCATGAAACGAATAACCATAACCATTATCATCATCACCATAATCTTTATCTATATCCTATCCTTTTTTTTAAACTATGATCC